CTTTAAAAAAAGACACGACTTTTCATATCACATTGTCGGGGGCATTTTCCTTTCATATGGCCTCGGAACGCTATCACGCTATCAAAAATAGAGTCACAACGTCAATACGATCGTTTTGACACCAACATCGCATTTTTCGGAGACAGGCTCAAAATCGTGTCTAAAAAATGGGATTGTGAGACCAGCACCGGGAATCCTCAAATCGAATCCGTAAAAATAATCCATTTACCTCCCCAAACTTGTTCCGCAAAACGGAACACAATTCGAATCTCGAAATTAGCCCATGCATTTATATCACTATTAAAGATAAAGAAGGAAAGAGGACAGCAGCTAAAACTCAAAAATGACTTCATACGAAGGTCCCCCGACAGTCCCTGAACACTCCAATGCATAGCCACGCCAATTTCGAGCAACCCAGCCTTTGAATCACCCAAAATAGAGCTATAATTAAAGAGAAATAGCGTTTAGAAAATGAGGGTTGAATGCAGATTTTTGGCTTTAAATAATGGCAGATCTGGTCACTAAAAGGACTTCTGGTCGCTAAAAATCCTCTACACTTTGAAATTTTGGAGATTTTTCTTTCTTTCAAGCACATATAGCAAACATTAGGGCTTCTTTTCACATTTTCTTGATACCTTTTGGACACGGACCCTAAACTACCCTATTCTAGCCAAAGATCAAACTTAAGAACAAAAAATGTTAATAAAATAAAGTAATTCAAACTAGTTCGATTACATCTTGGGTTGCCTCCCAAGTAGCGCTTGATTTAACTCTCACCTTTTAAATCTTGTTCCTTCCTCATTCTCAAGTTCAACCGCTCTGTGTGATAACACTTGTACAACTCTGAATGGTCTCGTCCTCTTTGATTTGAGCTTGCCAGGAAACAAGCGCAACCTTGAGTTGAATAGAAGTACCAAATCACAGGGATCAAATTTTCGCTTTTCGATCTTTTGATCATGGTACTTCTTCATCTTTTTCTTATACATCTTCAAAGCCATTGGAGATATCCCATTTACCCAAGCTGCAGCAAAAACCCTCATTTTAGCTATTCTATTCATCACCTTCATTGTAATTTCTTCTAGCATAAACACAATTGTCTTATGTCTAGCTGCCTGCTAATATCCAAGCATTAAACCTTTCAGCCATATTATTATCAATACTATCACATTTGAGAACTCCTTGAACTACACTTTGCACCATCTTTCAATGTCATATGTGATAAGATTTTTCACAATTTTTTTACCCAACTTACTTAACTCACCTTCCCTAACCTTCAATTCAGATTCAAATGTTTCCCTAACACACTTCTAGAACTTTTCCTTCTTTCAAAACCCTTCCATTTCTTTGACCAGTTTAACATAATGTGTCAAGCACACATTCTGTGATTACAAGCAGAAAATACTTCCTCAGCAGCACTAATCAAATCCTACAAAAAAATCGTAAACAATGGTATTTATATGATGTAAAATCAGTAGTAACTAAGCAAAATAAATAGTACAGTAACTAATTTGTATGATATTGATAAAAATAGTAGGGAACTATTTAGCAAAATAAACAGTAACTAACTACTAGGAAAAAGCAGTAACTAATTCTACAATGAATTTTATGCTTTGACTTCTTGTTAGTTATACTAGTTGATTAACATGTTAAATCAAGCTAAATTTAATCAAGAAAAAAGGGCAGAAAAGAACAAAGGTTTAAGAGTAGTAAAAATAACATTATCATACATTTTGCATATCAATGATTATAGTAGTTTGATCCCCATTTCCAAGTTGCAAGTCATCTTGCAAGATCCTCATAAACCATCTCCATATTTCCTTTTTTTCTACTTTATTTTCCAGGCCATTGGAAACATTTGATTGTTTCCATCTTTAGCAACTGCTACAAATAATGCCCTTTACATACCCCTTTGAGAAAATAATTATCAAGACCTATACACTTCTTACACTAGGTCCTTACCCATTTTTTTTTTATCATTCTTCTCCTTTTCTTGCTGGAGTCCTTTCTTTAATGCATAGTTGGTCAAATCTTCTCTAAATTTATTAACATTTTTAAATGCTTGACCGACCTGCAGATAACTTTCTCACAATTTGGATCATAGACTACCCTGCTACTCTTTTTCCAAGCCCTCAACTGCCCTCCTGCTCCTTCTCCATCATCACAAACCTGCTCACCTTCAAATTCAGTAGCAAAACTATCTACATTTCATGAGTCATAATATGGATCATCATCATCACCTCCCGAATTGTACCTCAAATTTGTTCTTTCGTTATCAATATCTTCATAGCCTTCATCTAACCCAACTTCATCTCAATAGTTCTTTGATAAGCCTCATATATAGATATGGGAGAGAAAGAGCAATCACACGATATCGAGTTCGAAACCTACACAAGTGTAGAAGCAAGGAGTGAGTACCAATACCACGGTACCCAGAAAGAAACCTAATAAACTAGGCAACTAGCTATAAATCGAATACTCCTTTCAACCCAACAGAACCTCCTCAAACTACAACCTGCACAAAAATCAGCCCAACCTAACAATTCTATGATACACCACTCACAAGGCTCAATAATTACAGTCCACTAGTTGCAATTCAACAACCAACACGTATCAAGTAAGTCAATCTCAATGTCAAGTAGATCAATCAATCAACAAAATGAGAAATGGGGGAGAGATAAAAAAAAAGAGGTCTTTATTGAAGAGGTGTATCGATCACAATTAACAAGTAAATCAAACATAAGCATCATGATGCATCAAATCACAATAATCAATCACTAGTCGAAACCATTTTCCATTGGCTTTATATCAGGTCACTGGGCGGAACCATTCCCTATCGACTTTATATCATGTCACTAGCCTGAACCATTTCCCATCGACTTTATATCATATAACTAACCGAAATTATTTTCCATCAGCTTTATATCACTAGCCGAAACCATTTTCCATCAGCTTTATATCATATCACTAGCTGGAAATGACCTCGACTCAGATCATCACTGGCCGGAAATGACCTCGGCTCATATCAATCACTAGCCGAAAATGACCTCAACTTTATAACATTTGCCTACAATGACCTCGACAACATTAGCTATCACTTGTCTCATCATGGTGTTCCAAATCAATGTACATAAAGAATATCACACCACACAGAAGAGACAAAAAAAAAATACAATTCAAGTCCACTTTCATGCTATCAAGCATTTTATCAATCAATAAACAAGGGTTACAACAAGGCAATTCACAAACATCACGATCATCATATAGTCTTTTCAAATTCACCCATTTTTCATTCATTAACATTAACCAAGTGGAAAAATAACCCTTCACCTCATTCGCATTACTCCATCCTTTTGTTATGGGTATACTGATTTTAGCGTAAACTTGTTGATTCATCAATTATTTTCATCATATTAACCGAGTATAAGCTTGAGAATTTGAGTTTTTTCCGGATAAAGTTAAAGTTTGATGAATTGAGGATTTCAAGGCCGATTTTAACTTCATTTTTTTAATGAAATTAAGCATGTCTAAGATGTTTTTCACAAAAAATTCATCTTGGAGTCGGGGTTTCAAATCCGAGTATGGAGGGTTTTTCTCATGAACTTGTGTAAGTAAATTAGAGTGATGAACATGATTTTAACTTTTTTTTCAATGAGATTTTAACTATGGAGTTTCAAAACCTTTGGGTAATGTGATTTTATACGAATTTCCAGAATTATCCCTCATTTTCAGAAATGGGTATTTGGGCCAATTCAGTCCATTTTCAAAATCATTGATATGAGTGTTGTTAATTCTGAAATCTTAGTGTGAATCCTTATTTGATTACATTGCTTTCATTTGGATGTCGCGTAAAGAGGAAATATTTAAGTTACAGAGTGATTGTGGACTTGAATTGAGGCAAGTGATCTCCTAAACTTTGAATCCTAGTAGAATTTGTGTATTCCCTTCGTTGCTTGTGTGTTGGTATTTGTTTAACATAATGCCATGAATGCATATGGAAGGGCAAACCTGGTAGAAGAACCCACACTACAAGAAAGTGGAGATACAACGATATTTTCTAAATGTCGTATTATGATATTTAAATGTCACAAATTTATTTACCGATATTTATTTACATTTGGACCAAATGTCATAAATTTTAGTGTCGGGAATTTTTCCGACATTTAGGTAATTGTCGGAAAGAATTTGTGACATTTATTTTGTGACATTTAGGTAAATGTTGAAAATAATTTGCGTCATTTACTTAGCAACATATATGTAAATGTTGGTAAGATTATTACGACATTTATTTTTTAACATTTATGTGAATGTCGATAAGAAATATATGACATTTATTTTTGACATTTAGGTAAATGTCGGTATGAGATATATATGACATTTATTTTCGATAATTAGGTAAATGTTGGTATGAGATATATGACATTTATTTTTTCGACATTTATGAAATGTCACTTGAACTTTCTGACATTTAGATTAAATGTTGGTAAAACAAATTTCAAGACACTTACTTGTGACATTTATAAAATGTCACATTGAAATTTCTGACACTTTAGTTAATGTCAACAAATGTTATTACTGAATGTCATAAAAATTGGTGATATTATTTTATATTTATCTAAATGTCATATTAATATTCTAATGTCGCTACCAAGTTTCTTAAACATCCCAGAAAAAATCTATATATAGTTTTTCTCAAGACACAAATACATACAAACAATCCATGCATTCAAAACTATCTCCTTCATGATAAGCAAGAAATATTATATAAAACAAATATTTTCTAATATTATAATCAAAGAACAAAATAGCAATATAATAAGTTTTTGTAAAAGTAAACAATGTCAAAACAAATTATCTTTTCTATCTCAAGTAAAATTGAGATCTAACTAAATGTAATAATCTCAACATAAAACCAACTAATTAACTCCTAATTTAAATGGAATTAAAATCTCCAGTAAATTTGCAATAAATCTTTATGAAATCATCAATCCAAAAGTCGAGCATGTTGAAGTCGATACTTGACCTCAATTTCCTTAAAAATTCTGCACAAGAAATGCACATAAGAAAATTTATAACTATATAATAATAGAAATTAGATCCTCATTAACTAGAACAAATTGGGATATCAAAAATGACTAATTGAATTTTTCTAAAAACAAACATATTAAGGAATTGATGCAAAAGCAGTAATTATACATATGAAATTTTCCTCCTTTTGAAAGAAAAGAAAGATCTTGTAGTGTTTTCAAACATACCCACTTCTTTTTATTTGTGCCAACTACGATAGTTCCAGTCTTCTTGATAATGTTAGCCTGAGAAAAAACATTAAATTGATTATTTTGATACTTTACGAAATACAAAACTTAACATTTCATTGAATACATAAGTGTGCCAATTTTTCCAAAAGGAAAATAAAAAAGGGAAGATAAATGATTGCTTCAACAAAACAAATATTTGGTGTTGGGACAAATATACAAACATCTTATAATGAAACTAACAGTGTGATAGCATTAATATGAGTTTTTCCAACACAATGTTCACATATCAGTAGTTCTTGACCACAAAACCTAGCATAGTTATCTAGTCAACTAGTTCATCCAAATACCGCTACATCCATTCCAATCAACTCTTCAGATACTGATTTGAACAAAGCAAGAAACACTAGTTTCCGTCAAAGCACACAATAAGCCACACAACAAACCATAACATCACTGTAATGAACTCAATGCAACTTAACATTCTATACAGACAGAAACAGAGAGCTAAAACAGAGTAGAATTGAACAATTAGCTTATCAAAAGCAACATGATCAAATTCTAAAACTACAGCACCAAATCCAGTCTACTAGTACATCCAAATCCAATTAGATCCACATCTAGCTTTATTGAAATCACAAAATAAACCATACAGTAAACCAAATCTTAGCAACATTAAAACTCCATTCTCTGACTTTTGATGCCTTCTCACTAATTTCTCAAACCAATACTGAAGGGAGAATTATTGTCTTACACAAGACACCTCTTATGAACAAGCTATGAATGTAATCTAACAAACTAGAGGTGGATGGCATTTGGGCCCTGAGAAAATGTAGGGAACTTGTTCTATGCAGTTTCAGGTTCAGATATCAAAGTGACGAAAAAAATAAAGGACATGTGATAATGAGAGATCATAAGGGTTTTATCACTAATCTGGCCTAGACAAGCTGAGAGGAGAAACCTGAACTCTATTATAAGCTCATGCTTTTTAAATAACAAGTTTCAGCAGAAACTGTTATATGGACATGTTGAAGTTACATGTTTGGGGATTGCGTTAAGTTGATTTACCTCTACGTTGAGTATTTGTATGACTTTAACTACATGCTAAATTGACTCAATTTTTATTTGGCTTATTGAACCAAGAACCTGAAAATGTCTTTTCATACACGGAAGCTTGTCCATTGGTCATTCTACCTTTGCAAACTACCATCTGCAATAGTGGCTAACATCAGATTTTTTTTTTTGCAGACCTAGCAGCTCTGAGCAGACCTCTTCAGTCGTCGACATTCTGATATATTCGATTAATTTCAGTCCCTAAAACATAAATCCTCTCCCCAGCCAAAAGTTTCACCAGCCATGAGCAGCTTACAAGGATATTATGGTCTTAAACCTCCAGATCAGAAAGTTGCATCTGAAGGATTTGAAATGGTAGTGTATAGTAAGGGAGGATCACATTATTTAGAAGATGGCCTGTTTTACAAATCCTCTCCTCTTTCAAATCCACCACTTAATCTTCAGAGAAAATCTAAAAGTGTAGCTAATGGTTTTATGTCAGAGAATGGAGTTCCTACAAATCATCTATCAACATAGGACACTAGAGACAATGGTTCGGATAGATGTTTTGAGAAATTAGTGAGAAGGCGTCAAAAGTCAGAGACTCATTTTACACGTACTCCAGAAATGCTGTTGACGGAAGATGACTCAATGCAACTCAAATAATACTACATAAACTTGTACAAACAGTAAAACTCCATAAATACATAGAAACAACATTAAAACATACTAGAATTGAACAATTATCTTATCAGAAGTCGCAATGATCAAATTCTAACACTTCAGCTCCAAATACAACTAATCGATTCTCAAAGCAGGGACATTCTAAACAATAACTTTAACTATTTTTGTTCCTTGATATTCTCAAATTACACCTCTTTTCAGAAGCATAAGTGTAATGAACCGAAAGGTCATTTTTGGGAATTTCAAACTATTTGTTGACTTTAGTTAAATAGTTGATGGGGGATTTTGGATAATTGATTTAATCGCTAGTTAACGGGCTAAAGTGATAATTTATTTAAGACCCTATACTATTTGACCCATATATAATAAAATAAGTGGATAAAATTTATCACTTTTAGTACTAATTAATTCAGAAAAGAAATAAACAAAAGAAAGAAGGAACGGACGAAGGGTTACGGCATCGCCAATTACGAACCGCTTCAGGTAAAACTTCAACTGAAGTTTCAATTTCTCTGCGCATGCATTAATTGCTTTTTATAGTGCTTATGCTACAGATATATGTATATAATATTATTATGTTAACATTAAATTGAAAAGGGGTTTTTGGAATAAAGAATTGGCAGGTCGTATATATATATGTATTCAAGATTTTAATGTAGATGGAGGAAGTAGGTGTTTTAGGTGTTGGCTAATCAAATTTTGAAAGGTTGAGGCCATGATTGGGTGACATGATGGAATTAATAGTTAGGAATATAAGGTATATCAAGTTGAGGTCTGAAACAGTGGTTTCCTCGTGTAATTGATGTCATTGTTTCGTTGATTTTCTTATTAATACAAAATTATGATTCAAGTTTTGATATATTGGTACATGTCATTAAGTGTTAGATGTATGGTATTATGTGAATACCCTTAGATTTATGATATTGGAAAGAAGTTGGAACTAAACCCTAGGATTGAAACTTTGGAACTTGATTATAAATTTGGTGAGTTTTTGGGTCTAGGCTAAACCTATAGTAATATGAGTGTTGTTAGTTTCGAAATCTTAATTATTGTGAATATGTACTTGAATAGATTGCATTTATTTGGAAGCTCAACGAAAAGGGAAGGCTCAAGTCTCGGAGTGATTGTTCGGTTATTAGAGGCAAGTGGATTTCTAAACCCTTGTTAAGTGTATGGAATTCATGTATTTCCTTGTAATATGTGTTTAGGGTAATGAGGCTTGGTGATGGGTTGACTTGTCCGCTTTGATTAATTCTAATGATGAGAAAGGGATAATAAAAGGCAATGTGATCAATTGTTTGTGTGATGTGTTGAGAATTGTTTGAAAGGCTTGTTGAATCATTGTTGATGTTGT